GACCGACCCAGTGGTGCAAGAGGAGTACTCAAAGCTCAGTGCTCAATGCTCATTCCTGAAAGGTCTAGGTGACGAATGGGATGCTGGAGGTCCAAAGGTTTCATCTTGGGTTTTCTGTTTTCTTTGGGGTGGCAGAGCAAGGATTCTTGCAATCATTTCTTGTGCTGCACTCTGGCATTGCCCCTGGCAGTACTTGTGGACCATATGGGATGTTGGGGATCGCCAGTCCTACATGCTGTCCCTGAAGTAGCTGTCCTATTACGCCAAACTGCTGCTTCGGCTTCTTTTGCATCGTTTTTCTCATCAGCTGTCCTCTTGACTCTGTGCTCTGGATTCACAACTGACTGGCGTCAGAGCACCCTGGGGTGTGTTGGCCCCGTTTGCGCCCTGGCAACTGCAGTGACTTGGGCCTCCAGACTTGCTTTTCTCCTGTTTTGTCCTTCCTGCGTTGGAGAGACTACCTGCTCGGTCATATAGGCTTAAGTTCACATAATCTTGTGTGTGGATTTCTGGGCATGTGCTGATCCCAAGGAGAAAGCCAAGGATCTCTGCGGCCAGTAGAGATGTTGGGGTCAAGAAACTTCTAAATTCTTTGAGCGGGATGTGGGGTGGTCCAGTGCAGTGAGTTCCTACAGGCAGACATGCCATGCACTGTTCTGAGTAGTTGTCTATATGGACTCTCGAGTTCTCAATCCTAGTGGTCATGTGCTGTGGGGGTGCAGCGGTGAGCATGCAGTAGTTTTTGCTACACCCAGGGATAGCCTTTTGGATCGTACAAGTCTGTGTTCAGGTGATCCTCTCTACAATGCTCACTGGAACAGTGGTGCTCGAATTGGCCGGGGGGTTACCAGGAAAGGCAGATACATCCAAGAACCTTCTGTATCACATCGTCCCACTTTAGCAGATCCAGTTGCCTTATGTGATTTTTGGGGCCCATCAGTCATGCGTGAGCATGGAGGCTGGTTTATTCGGAGTGGAGAGGCCCCGCGACAATATAGGACCCTGGGACCTGGCCTCAGAGTAGTGTGAATGAGGCTAAGATAGATTCTGACTCCCACCCTCTTCGTGTGCTGACTCAGGACACAGTGACCTTCCATGACGTGGCTGTGAACTTCACCCCAGAGGAATGGTTATGCCTGGAGGCCTCTCAGCGGAAGCTCTACAGGGACGTGATGCTGGAGACCTACCAGAATATGCAGGCTGTCGGTGAGAGCAGTGTGGAGCCAACCATGTCTGAACAGACCTGCGTTGGCTCACTGGGGTTGGGCGGAAGCTGTGTGTCCAACAGTTGCTCTGTGACGGGCGTGCAGTAGCTCTTCCCTCCCTCGTGTTTTTTAGGGTTCAACTGTGGATACTCAGGGCTTACTCTCAGCTTTGTCTTCAGGAATTACTCTTGTGGGGTAGCCGGACCCTATGGGGTGATTCAGATCAACGCGTTTCAACTGTGTCCATGGGAAGATCCCTCTCTGCCCAGTTATCACCCAGGTCCCTTTAAATAGTTCCATCCATTGGTGAATCAATTCACTTTGTGTACTACACGAAATTTTGTGTGTTTAATTGGTTTTGCTGTTGCCTTTGTTTGGGGGGCACAGTCCACAGTTCTCTTGGCTCTGTGCTAAAGGATGACGACTACGAGTGTTCAGGGGCCATATGGAACCGTATATTTAAACCTCTTGGCAAGTTAAACTGTCGCTGCCTCACCCCCAGTACTTTTGCATCAGTCACTCAAGTCAGACGGTTTTTGCATTTTCTTTTTTCCTTAGGGATTAGGAATTATTCCTGCCTGTGTATTCAGGGTCCACACCTGGCCTTGCTCCAAGACCATATGGGCTGCCTGGGATCAAACCCACATGTATGTGCAGCACTTCTGTCTTATCTGCTGTACTATCTCTTTCCCACCACAGGGGATTTGATATTTCATCTCTCAACTCATTAGACGCTGCCCTATTTCAGTGCTTTGATTTACTTCTAATGGTTCTTGTGAGACTTCAGCAGGACTTAGGGGTTGCTTCTGGACTCTGCACTCAGGGATTGCTCCTGGCTGGCATGAGGGACCCTAGGAGATATCGGGTATCACAACTGGATTGTCCGTGAGAAACTCCTGCTGTGCTCTCTTTCTGGATACATTTTTAGCTTAAAAAATAAGGGTATCTTGTCACGCTTGGCCATTTCCAGATTTATTATGCACTTAGTTTTACTGAAGTCCGTGAAAAGTTCATGAGGGGCTGAGGAAACTCCATGTGCTTCTGAACCTAGAGAGATAGTACAGGGATGAAAGTGATTTTCTTGCAAGCGGTGCATGTGGGTTAAATTCCCGGCAACCCATGTCATACCCGAGCACCAGCAGTAGTGATTTCTGAATACAGAGTCAGGAGTCTCCCCTGATCATTGCCAGGTGAGACCCAAAACAAGACAAAAAACAAAAACATACTGTGCTAATCAACCCCCTATCTGCCATACACAAGGCCAGGTCTAGAGTATTTGTGATATTTTCTTGGGTCTTACCTCTCGAATAACTAGAAATATGTGGAATTTTGGAAATGGACATTCTGTTCATGATTTTCAGATAAATGCCCACTTATATCAAGAAAACATGGGCATTTACCTGTCACCTTTTCCCTGTGACTTATCCATGCCTCTGTCTCTGTTGCGACAGGGCACACTGGAATGAAACCTGCAGTGATCTCCTGGCTTGAAGGAGGAGTTTTGAGGTCGGGTAGGAGAGGCGTGTGTGCGGGTGAGTGTCTGAGGACCCTTCCTGGATCAGGCCCTGTGCAGTGTATGGGTGCCCTGAGCATGTGTGAAACATGCTGCTGAGGCCGGGGCCTTGGTGTCCTGTATCCTTGGGTCTGTGCCGCACTCAAGCTGCTCTTCATTTACTTGGATTGTCAATCACAGAATGATCCTGTAATTTGCTTCCATGGCTTTCCAATAAATAAGACCATAACATTGATAGTTTGGATCTAAACGATAGTACAGCAGGGAGCGCCTTGCAGTGCCTGAATGTGACCTGTTCAATAATCTGTTCAATAACCTGGTTCCCCGAACATCACCAGGTCTGCTCAAAAACAAAAACATAACCTAGTGTAGAATTGCCAAGATCCTCACAGTTTTCCACTATCCGAATCTTTTGTTTAGTGTGGGACTCTTTGGACTTTGAGAACCACAGAGATGTACTCTTAACTACATGGCATCATTTTGCTACATATTGTGACATATGTGACATGTGTGAATTGCATGTTCTCTTCAGTTTCAGAACTGAAACCGCGACTTCAGAATTTGGTATTACAGCACTTTGATTTGGAAATGGGGTCAACAAGTACGAGTGAGTTGGTAAGATTCACGAATACAGAATAAATATTATTATGCCAGCAGGAGTGTCCCAAGTATGTGATTGTAAAGGTGGAGGGCTGGGATTGGCAGGGATAAATTCCAAAACCTGATGCTTGGAGTAGAGGACTCTTAGCTTTGCTAGGTGCTGACATCAACCGTGTATAAAAATACTGTGAGTTTTTGATTGGCTTGACAGTGGTAGTTGTTTAGAAAGCTAATTTGTGCGCCCTAGAGATGGTGCAGTGAGAAATATACTTGTTTTGCATAGGGATGGATGGTCCTTACCCAGCACGCCTTATAGACAGCATAGACCCACAGAACTGATCCGAGACACTGCATGGTGTGCTCCTCCACCCACCCAACCTCCAATGAATAGACACTACAAAACAGAAAGAAAAAAAACTTTATTGATCCTGAAAGGAATCACTTGTGGTGAGAGCATTGCAATGGCCACGTGATCTGTCTCAGCTGCGTTACGATGCAGCGTAGTCTTCACCCCTGCATCACAGGTTCCACACAGAACTTTAACCAAATCCACATGTGAATCTATTTCATTTTCTCTTGAAATGGATGTGTCCGTTTTCTATAGAAGGAATTATTTCTAGTTGTATTCCTTCATTAAATTAAAAAGGGGGAAAGTCCCAAAATTTACTCTCTATCCATCAATGTTGTGCGTCCAACTTACGGTAACATGAAGTTATTCAATAGTAAGACAATTCATATGTCAGTAATTGCATTTTTGTGGTGCATATGTGTGGAACTACATCTGAAGGGCTCAGTTTTTTGACAGGAAGACTCAGTGTATAAGTCAATAATTAGAATCCTCTGTTGTTCTGCAGGAAAGCTGCCACCCCGAGTGGAATGTCTCTGATCCTGCACTGTATGATAATGTCTCGACTGATCAATCCTGCCCTCAGCCCCATGAGGACGATGAGACAGGCGGGATTTCTTCTGAGGGTGATCAGAATGGTGAGAGCTACCTCACTCTGAAGAAGCCCTCTCCTGGAGAAAGTTCCTTGGAGTGTGTTATTCTCAGTTCACAGACACAAAATTCCCCAATGGGGTACCTGCTAGGGAGAGAAGCACTGTTTATAGTTAGTCCCTCACAGCAACATACCCTCAACCACAGTCACCGTGAGCAGAACCCATATAGGTGTAAGGAATGTGGAGGAGCCTCCCCATGTTCTCAGTACTGTGGTGTACCCTTAGAAAACCATAGTGGACAGAATCCACAGAAATGTCAGCCCCAAGAACAAAGTGTGAGTCAAGGGTTACTCCATCATGACCATATGAATATAAATTCAGGAGCGAAACCTTTTGCATGTGAAACATGTGGGAAGGCCTTTGATCAATCATCACATCTTATGCATAGGAGAATTCATACAGGAGAGAAACCTCGTGAATGTCAGACATGTGGGAAGGCCCTCATTCAGACCTCTAGTTTTAATGGACCTATGAAAACTCATAGTGCAGAGAAGCCTTCTATATGTCAGGAGTGTGCTAATGCCTTTACTCGATCCTCAGGCCTCAGTATACATAGAAGTATTCACACTGGAGAGAAACCGTATATATGTAAGGAATGTGGGAAGGCCTTTGCGAAAGCCTCAAGTCTTAGTGTACATAGGAGAATTCACACTGGAGAGAAACAATATATATGTAAGGAATGTGGGAAAGCCTTTGCGAAAGCCTCAAATCTTAGTGTACATAGGAGAATTCACACAGGAGAGAAACCGTATAAATGTAAGGAATGTGGGAAGGCCTTTGCTCAATCCTCAAGCCTTGGTGTACATAGGAGAATTCACACTGGAGAGAAACCGTATACATGTAAGGAATGTGGGAAGGCTTTTGCTGGAGCCTCAGGACTTATTGCACATAGGAGAATTCACACTGGAGTGAAACCATATATGTGTAAGGAATGTGGAAAGGCCTTTGCTTTGGCCTCAAGACTTAGTGAACATTGGAAAATCCACACTGGAGAGAGACCCTATGTTTGTAAGGAATGTGGAAAGGCCTTTATTTTGGCCTCAAAACTTAGTGTACATAGGAGAATTCACACTGGAGAGAAACTGTATATATGTAAGGAATGTGGGAAGTCCTTTGCTGAATCCTCAAAGCTTAGTGTACATAGGAGAATTCACACTGGAGAGAAACCGTATATATGTAAGGAATGTGGGAAGTCCTTTGCTGAATCCTCAAAACTTAGTGTACATACGAGAATTCACACTGGAGAGAAACCGTATATATGTAAGGAATGTGGGAAGTCCTTTGCTGAAGCCTCAAAGCTTAGTGTACATAGGAGAATTCACACTGGAGAGAAACCGTATATATGTAAGGAATGTGGGAAGTCCTTTGCTGAAGCCTCAAGCCTTCGTGTACATAGGAGAATTCACACTGGAGAGAAACCGTATATATGTAAGGAATGTGGGAAGGCCTTTGCTGGAGCCTCAAAACTTACTGTACATAGGAGAATTCACACTGGAGAGAAACCGTATATATGTAAGGAATGTGGAAAGGCCTTTGCTACAGCCTCAAGCCTTAATGTACATAGGAGAATTCACACTGGAGAGAAACCGTATATATGTAATGAATGTGGAAAGGCCTTTGCTTTGGCCTCAAGACTTAGTGAACATTGGAAAATTCACACTGGAGAGAGACCCTATGTTTGTAAGGAATGTGGAAAGGCCTTTATTTTGGCCTCAAGACTTAGTGTACATAGGAGAATTCACACTGGAGAGAAACCGTATATATGTAAGGAATGTGGGAAGTCCTTTGCTGATGCCTCAAGCCTTAGTGTACATAGGAGAATTCACACTGGAGAGAAACCGTATATATGTAAGGAATGTGGGAAGGCCTTTGCTAAATCCTCAAGCCTTACTATACATAGGAGAATTCACACTGGAGAGAAACCGTATATATGTAAGGAATGTGGGAAGTCCTTTGCTGATGCCTCAAGCCTTAGTGTACATAGGAGAATTCACACTGGAGAGAAACCGTATATATGTAAGGAATGTGGGAAGGCCTTTGCTAAATCCTCAAACCTTACTATACATAGGAGAATTCACACTGGAGAGAAACCATATATATGTAAGGAATGTGGAAAGGCCTTTGCTGGAGCCTCAAGACTTAGTGTACATAGGAGAATTCACACTGGAGATAAACCATAATATATGTAAGGAATGTTGGCGTGGATGTGGCGAGAAAGGGACACTCCTTCACTGTTTGTGGGAATGTCCACTGGTCAGCCCTTCTGGACAACAGTATGGACGATTCTCAAAAAATTAGAAATTGAGCTCCCATTTGACCCAGCAATACCACTCCTGGGAATATATCCCAGAGAAGCAAAAATGTATAGTCGAAGTGACATCTGCACTTGTTTGTTCATTGCAGCACTCTTTACAATAGCCAGAAACTGGAAGAAACCTGAATGCCCAAGAACAGATGACTGGTTAAAGAAATTTTGGTACATCTACACAATGGAGTACTATGTAGCTGTTAGAAAAGATGAAGTCATGAAATTTACATACAAGTGGTACAATATGGAAAGTATCATGCTAAGCGAAATGAGTCAGAAAGAGAGGGATAGACATAGAAAGATTGCATTCATCTGGGGGATATAAAGTAACAAAGTATGAGATTAATACCCAAGAATAGCTGAGATCAGCACCAGGAGGATTACTCCATAACTTAGAGGCCAGCCGGGTATCCTAGAGGAAAGGGCAGTTCAGATAGAGAAGGGAGCACCAAATAAAGGATGTTTGGAGGATCCTCCCAGGAGGGGAGATGCATGTTGAAAGTAGACTATGGACTGAACATGTTTGCCACTCAATGCCTCTTTTGCAGACCACAACACCCAAACGGAGAGAGAGAACACAGGGGATTGTCCTGCCACAGAGGCAGGGGGGGATGGGGGAATGGGGGTGGGAGGGATATTATCCATGGTGGTGAAAAACGGACACTGGTGGAGGGATGGGTATTTGATCATTGTATAATTGAAACCCAAGCACAAAAAAAAATTGTAAATCTACAACTGTAAAAAAATAAAAAAAGAATAAGCCCTGAGCACAGCCAGCTGTGGATCCCCCCAAAAATTTAAGTAAAATAAAATAAAAATAGAATCTGAAAAAAAAAAAAGGAATGTGGAAAGTCCTTTGCTGAAGCCTCATACCTTTGTGTACATAGGAGAATTCACACTGGAGAGAAACCATATATATGTAAGGAATGCGGAAAGGCCTTTACTTCATCCTCGCAATTGACTATACATAGGAGAATTCACAGTGGAGAGAAACCGTATATATGTAAGGAATGTGGGAAGTACTTTGCTGAAGCTTGCTGATTTTTACCCGGGCTGCACCTATGCCAGTATTCTTGTGCTTGGAACTGCTTGTGTGTTAACTTGTAAATAATGGGTCATGGTGATGAAAATAAGGAGGAAGGTGACTGAATAAACTGAATAAACACCCTCCTGCTCAGAGCTGTAATGGCTCACTACTCTGTTGTTGTTTGCTATGCTTCTGGCTTGGCCCAGTGGGGCTGGTTAGCGGGAATTATGGCAGAAATCAACCAAGATGCAGCATTGAATACTTTGAAAATGGAAAAATAGGTAATCCTTCATTCTTCCGTGTTTCCTGTGTTAGGATTTGGGATGCTTGAGCACCCTGGTTTGGCCACTTGAGCGCCAGGTCAAGCCAGCTTGTATGGTGCATTCACGCTTGTTTGTTACTTGTTCTGGATATCCAGGCTTTAGTGGATGTGGAGCTTTTGAGGGGTGCATTGGGTGCTGTTCTGTCACTCAGGTGTCATGGGTGAAGGTGCGTTATCCTGAGTGCCCCTGCAGCCACCATCGATCCAGGTCCAAGACGGCACTGGAGGTTGGGCACATGGACTTCAGGCCTTGGTGTGAGGAGCTTGCAAAGAGTGGAGGTGTTGGTCATCTCATTCCTCCCTACTGGAGACTGTGAAGGACCCTGTTTTGAGCCTTTGGACTGGACCTAACACTTATCGAAACTCCAGATATGTTCACAGGCAGCCCCCAAAGGAAAGGGACACTTTTGCCGTCAGTCATTTTCATTGGCTTCAGTGCTGGGTTTGGCACTTTGGGTTTTGTTTAGACAAATGAGAGGTATATGCCTTGAAAATTTACTCTTTGGATTATATATATTTTTTTGTTTTTTGTGTCACACTCAGCGTTTCACATGGGTTTCTCCTGACTTATGCACTCAGGAATTACTCCTGGTAAAGCTCAGGGGACCATATTGTTTCTGGGATTCGAACCCGGGTTGGTCACGTGCAAGTCAAACCTCTTACCCGCTCTGCTATCACTTCAGCCCCTCTTTGGATTAATTTTAATAGCTGCTTTTATTCAAGGCAGTTGGAAGGGATTCTTTGATGCACAAGGTTTACTTCTGGTTGTGCATATCAGGAATTATTCTGTGGTGCTGCTGGGTACCTATCGGATGGGGAGGCTAGCATCCTAGTAGCTTCACAGTGATTCCAACCCCACTATTGGTGTTTTTTTTTTTCCATATATAGAATTTCTACAACCTGGGATTATGGTACCGCCAGCAGGTCAATATGTGCCTGTAAGGCGACTGCATCAGCAGCCTGATGGCACCATCAGACTTCCAGATACTCCAAAATTGATGCTGTGCCTTTGGCCAGACTCCAAAAACTTTGGGCAAAGTCTTCCAAGAAAGTAAACAGCCAATGTTAGGTATGTGCAAGACACACCAACAAACCATTTCCTGCTCAGCTATATAATTGGAGGCAAGGTCTCTCTGGTTCCTGATCAAACCTCTTAAAGGCTATGATCCCAGAGACTCAGAGATAAATCTCAGAACCCAGCGGCTTTTTGCAGAGATGTGCCCGATACCCACAATGAGCTACCGGCGACAGACCACCACAAGGGGGAAAGGGGGTGTGTCTCCGCCTGATCCCACTTGGTGGCTCAGTGGCCACCATCTTCCAGAGGCCATTGGACAGACAGGTTTGGGCCTGCAGTGACAAGACATGCAAGGTCTCATGGGATTGGGCTGGACTCTGCACTTTCCTCCCCACCTCAATGAGACCCCGAGTCACTGCCCATGTACGAACTCTCTGGCTGATCCCAGAATCTCAGAAACTAATTTCGGAACCCAGTGGCTTTCAGAAGAAATCTGTTCTGTCCCCACAGTAGGTTACCTAAGCTGGGTATTTCAGGTGGGAATAGGTTTTGTGCCTGGCGGCTCAGTGGCCGCCATATCTTAGGGTTCTGGACGGTTAGGTTTGGGACTGCAGTGAGGAGACATGCAGGGCCTAATGGGATGGTGGTGGAGCTGGCCCTTTTCCCCCTGCCCCAACGAGACCCCGAGTTGTCTGGCGCCTACGATTGACCTCTATGGCTCGTGATCAAGGTGAGTAATGGACATGATCCCAGAGATTCAGAGACAAATCTCGAAACCCAGTGCCTTTTAGCAGAAAAGCATCTGGACCCTGCAGTAGGTTACTGTCCCAGGTCCACCCCAGGGGGAATTGGTGCTGTCCCGCCAACTGCTCCTCCTTGGCGGCTCGGTGGCCTCCATCCGCCAAAGGCCTTTGGAAAGTCAGGTTTGTGCCCACACTCAGGAAGATACGTGGGGCCTCGCAGGATGGGTGTGGAGCTGGCCAATTCCTCCTCACCCCAACAAGAGCCTAAGTCATTCCCACGAACCGCCTCTCTGGCTCGTGATTAAGCTGTTTAATGGCCATAATCCCAGAGACTCAGGAACAAATCTCGGAACCCAGCAGGTTTTTGCAGAAATTCCTCCAGATTTAATTGTTAAAATTTCAGAATTCCAAAATCATATGTTATTTATAACCAGCAAATGAAAAAGAATTGTCTACTGTTGCGTTTTCACCAGTTCTAACTGCCGGAGTAAAATGCCAAATAATAATGGTGGGTCTTGTGTCAAAATATTGAATGTAATCAAAGTAGGGAAAAGAATTGGAAATTATCTGCCCCACAGGTAGAGGAAGGCTGTGGAATGGCGTTGTACTTGGGTTTTTAGTGATGGAAAATGGGCATGGTGAAGGGATGGGTGTTTCATTGTATGACTGAGACTTAAACCTGAAAGCTTTCTAAGGGCTCTTCCATTTTCCCCCGTTTTCTCTCATTTATTTAGAAATGGCCAGAATAATAGTAGAGCAAGTAGGATGCTACCTTGCATGTGGCCAACCCAGGAGTCTTCCAGTCCACAACGTCTTTTCATTGCTTATTGGACATTGAGCGTCCCCTTCTCATTCCTAGAACATGTAATGTGGGGGTGTGGCATGGGGTAGGGGTGTCTTCTCCCCAGAGCTGTTCATTACGGAGAGATCCAGTGCTTTGCTTTCTTGACTTTGTTGTGATTCTTCCCTATCTGTCAGGTATGTCAAGTAGTCCATGTGTTTCAAGGCTCTTGTTTTCCCAGTTGTATAACTGGCCAGATTGTACAACTAATGGGTCGGGTACCCTTTCTGGACCCTGCTCAGTCAATCTGACACCATGCATATATTTGCCTTTGGATCATTGTCATGTTTTTTTGAAAATGGGAAGAAATTGAGTTTTCTTTTGTTATGGGGCCTGGGGATGCTCAACAGTTATTTCTGGTGGTTCTCATAAGTTGCTTTTAGCAGTGTATAAGGATCAAACCCTGTCAGCCTCATGGTAGGCAAATGCCTACCTACTGTACACTTGTAAGCGCTAAAAAATGTTTTTATTGTGTGTATGTTAAATTGTGACTGTGAGCCCATAGTGAAGTTAATTAGGACCAGAACAGCAGTGCATCACAGAGGGTGCTTGCCTTACAGATGCCGCCTACCTTCGATGTCCAGCATCCCCTTTGGTATCCCAAGCATCACTGGGTCTGATTAAAAACAAAACCCAAAAGGATTTTTTTGGGGATTGCCGAGCTCCTCCCAGCAACACTTCCCGCAGATTTTCCCTTTCTGTAGGCTTGCTTGGACTGTGAGAACTATGGAGATGTCCTCCACCTGTTTGGTCATTCAGCTGCATTCCATTCAACATTGGACTAATTCTCATTGTGCTTTTTGTGTGATTTCAGAACTTAAATCACAGGTTTAGGATGTGACATTACAGCAGTTTCTTTAGGGAACAGGGGTATTGCATACAAGTGTGCTGTAAGAGTCT